ATCGCTTGTAGCAGGAGATGCTGCTGTTAAAAAAAAACAACGCCTTCCCACGCTGACTTTACCCTCTCTGGATTCACAGAGTCCTGTTCGAGCTTTGCCAGATGTTTCCTAAAGCTGCCGCCGATCACATGAAGCTTCTCCTCCAAGACACCACACACAAGATGGAAGAAATGGCAGAAAGGAAAAACCTGTTATATTTCCCGACGTTAGACAAGGTATATATTATATTTTAGCTATTTGGATGGCGGGACCACAGGGAGATGTTGCCGTTCTCAGTCTTGGGGGGGACCAGAACAGGCAGAACAGTGTCATCTTGCCAAAACCAACAAAAAATCATGTTGCCCTTTCTTACACTGCCTTAACAACAGTACAACTGCAGTGGTTGACTTCACGAACGCGGCAAGAAACGTCGTAAAACGGGGCAAATCTCACGTAACAAATTTCTCACTGAGCAACATAAATTCTGGATTTAGTTGTCGTAAGTCATGGACGACCCACACAGCACTGATAGGTGAAATTTTCTTCCAAAATGCCAGGGCAACGGACGCCACGAAAAATAAATCCTACGTTTATTTTAAACCCAGGAGGAATTTCATGACTATTGACGGTCCACCTTTGATGGGGTTTTTTTTTCAGCTCCTCTATTTGAAAATTGTCACCATTCTTTTTCCAACTTCTGACTTCTGGCATCCGGTCGTAACCCCGTCACTGATTTATATGAGCCAACTACTTACGAAGGTAAACTTTTCACCCTTTTTTTTTCCTGATCTTTCACACAAAACGTAAAGATGAAATTGAAATAATGTCCGTTCATACTTTTATTTTTCAAACCCTAACGTTTGATTGAGGCCTTAGCCAGGTGATATTTTTTAGACAGCTCATCTAATCCTCTCCCCTTTTTTAAAAATAATTATTTAATAATAATAATAATAATAATAATAATAATAATAATAATAATAATAATAATAATAATAATAATAATAATAATAAAGTTGGAAGGGACCTTGGAGGTCATCGAGTCCAACCCCTTGCTCAAGCAGGAACCCTACACCATTTCAGACAAATGGCTGTCCAGTCTCTTCTTGAAAACTTCCAGTGTTGGTGCGTTCACCGCTTCTGGAGGCAGGTTGTTCCATTGGTTAATTGTTCTAACTGTCAGGAAGTTTCTCCTTAGTTCTAAGTTGCGACCCATCGCAGCCCCATGGACCACGTTCCTCCAGGTCTTCCTGTCCTCTACCATCTTCTGGAGTCTGCTGCTTCAGGGACTCCATCCAGCCACCTCCTTCTCTGTCGTCCCCTTCTTCTTCTCTTGCCCTCCATCTTTCCCAGCATTAGGCCTTTCTCCAGTGA